CAGAAAAAGTATCACCACATAACCCCTGCCAGCAAAGATGACCCTAAATCAAAAAGAACAGATTAAATTACACTCGAGTATAAATATAATTCAATCACAGGCAGATAGTTACTTTTGGAAACCACTGACATTAGTTGAAATAAAAGATGTTGGTATTCAAAGGAAAAAACAAAGAATTCACTGAATATTTTGACTAGTCAATGGCTTACTCCACTTCAACCCAAAATTTTATACTTAGGACACTTATCTCCCTCCTCCCATTAATCTTTGTGTCAAACTACTGGGGCCAATCTGGCTCTTGTATTCCACACTGTTTTCCCATGAGTTTTCCCTAGCAACTTTTGACTTTAATATACCTAATTGCATTCTAAACTACCCTCCATAAAGTATTTTTTGCGCATTATCCAAATCCTCTATGTAAAGTCAAGTTGTAGCTGTAATTTTATTTCCCCAGTTTACTGTACATGGGAGTTATCCTTCACAGACACACTAACAAAATGTTCTTCAAAACAATGAACACGGGCTTCCCTGGTGGCGCAGTGGTTAGGAATTCGCCTGCCGATTCAGGGGACATGGGTTTGAGCCCTGGTCCGGGAAGATCCCACATGCCGTGGAGTAACTAAGCCTGTGGGCCACAACTACTGAGCCTGTGCTCTAGAGCCCACAAACCACGACTACTGAAGCCCCACGCACCTAGAGCCCGCGCTCTGCAACAAGTGAAGCCACCACAATGAGAAGCCTGCGGACCGCAACGAAGAGAAGCCCCCACTCGCCGCAACTAGAGAAAACCTGCACACAGCAACGAAGACCCAACGCAGCCAAAAATAAATAAAATTTATTAAAAAAAAATGAACATGAAAGTATTTCATTCAATAAACAGGTTACTTACCTATAAGGCTGATTCTCTGACAGATAAAACCAAATAATTATGATTACAATTACAGAGCTTAAACTTGGGCTAACAAATTTTGAAAACTGGGTATCCAAGATCTGTTCCATTAGAGTCCTCAACCTAGAAATTCCAAAAGTCCATAGAATAAATCTTTATTGGATCAGGGAACCTAGTTCAGACTATCAACTGAAAGACAGAAGTTCTAACCCCATTTCTACCCAGAATTCATCATACTTTAAGTAAATAACCTAAAAACCTTGATTATGAGTTAGGAAACAGGGACTGCCACCTATGCTGTCTATTTCCAAGTAGTTGTGGGTGTCAAATGAGAAACTAGATGAAATTACTTTGTAAATTATGAAACACAGTACAAATGTAAAATTATTTTATCCAGGGCCGGATTTCAACTCTAGTGCTTTCTAAGCAAAATCCATCCCTAGTCTTGGAGTTTTCTGGCCCTTTGAAAGAAATTACCTTGACAAACAATAAAAGTAGTCTCATAGGAAGTAATGAATCTAGAAGACTTGATGAGGATTTTCCTATGTAGCTTCTGAAACTGATGAAGTATCAAATGATTCCTCATAAGCACTGTGCAACAGAAGGACATATAATTATTTAGTACATTAATGTTTTCAGAGAATCAAGTTTGAAACTGCAATTCTTGTAATATTCCTTAATATGATTTGAAAACAAGATTTTTACCTGAACACTACATGAGCAACACTCTTAGATGAGCAATAACTATCTTACTCTTACGCTTTCATTATCTAGAAACTTACAAATCAATATCAACATTAGCAATATTATCAATGAGTTAAATCATTTGTAAGACCTCAAAAATCTAGAAACCCTAAATCTGACTTTTCACCCTCTATCTGTTCATAAAAGCTTTCATGAAGCTATCCAAGGCCCTTCAAGTACAAATTTATTTAAGTATTCTTGTACAATGAGAATTCAGAGGCAACTGACCAAATCACATTTTTATTTGAAAATTTATTTTCCAGTGACTGCCTTGTGAATTGGAAGGAAAGCGCTGAACATTAAATCCCAGGACCTGAAATCTTCCATATCTTCTCTCCCTAGAACCAGAACTTCAAAATTTAGAGGTCAGTTTCAGTGTCTCTGATTCAAAATCAAAAGGTCCATTCTCAAACAGAAAGAGCAATCCACAGTTAAGCACATGATCTCAGTTAGTCCAGCTATTTAGGCCAAAAAGAGAGTCATTAGGTATTATCTACCACTTTAACAGACTCTATCAACCTAGAAGATGAGACTGTCTTGAGCTGAAGTATATTTCTTTTTGATTCCCCACCCCCTAATCTTTAAGAAGGCATATTCTAGTAAAATACTCCACAGCTGGAATCACACCAGAGAAGAAGATACTCTTCAGTCCCTTGATCACAGTGGAGTTCTCCATGTGGATAAATAAATACAGAAAAGCACCTATGGGTTTATATGCTGGAGAAGAGGGATGGTATCTAGAGAGGAAACAGGGCAAGCACCCAAAACATCTGTAGGCTCACTTCTCTGGCCTATGGCCTAATTACCATGAATCGGGTCTAAGTCTAGGACTCGACATAAAATATCTTTTCAAACATTTAGAAGTGATTAGATGACCTTGTATATGATATCCCTGCAAACAAGATGGATAAATTATAGGATGAATGCTAGGATAGAAGGTTGCTGATTAATTAATGTTAATTCAAAGAACTGTAACTGGAACAAAGAGCTATGGCCTCCTGGCTCCAGACAAAGAGCTACGTCACACTCAGTGTCTTCTACTCATAATATATTTTCTAAACTGGCCATCAGGAAGTACTCATTCCCTAGTGGTGGAGATCTGTGTGTGCAGGGGGACAATAATCCATCTACCCCAAGTGTCTTTTTTTTTCTTTCTTTCTTTCCCCAAAGTACCTTTTAACATTTTCCAACTGCCAGAAATTTATTTGAGAATTAAAAGCGTTAGACAGGTATCATGATGCTATTTTCAACAATGACAACTTGGGTAAAAACAGTCAAAACATTTTCTCTAACCATCTCCTGGTTCTAGATAGGAACAGGGATTTTACTGAAAGAGATTAACATGTGATATGATCAAACACCTCATCCCAATTTTTCTTAAATTATCTTTAACCAAGATGCTAATCAAGATGCTCCCTCTCCATCCCACTTCTGCTGATCTGCTTCCTTTGGGGGAAAAAAAAGTTAAAAGTGAAGGGTCAAAGGTGCTATTTTCAAAAGATTTGGAAAAAGCAAAAAAGCAAGAAGGAATCAATTCTGTTGCCCAAAGTCACCCAACAAGGCACTAATTTAACTTGAGAACACTGTCCTAATAAAGCAACTATCATCCAAATTCCAAAGTACTCTATATCCTAAGGAACCCATGAAACTATTGTTCTCATTCTCAAAGGTTTAGGAATATGCACCTCACTCTTCAAATGTTATGGCCACTATCTTTAGAGAACCATTTTATAGGAACATCATTCTTCAGAATCACCAGAAGAGCTCTTACCAAAAAAGTAACATAATGTACTAATGGGAATATTTTCCATGATTAATAACCAGTTAACCCTTAATAAGAGAGTACCTCTTTTGCCAAAGAAACAATAAAAAGCAAAGAATAGAATAGAGTATCATCTTGTAAATATGCATACTTCCAGACTTTTTGGTATTTCCCCCAAGACACATGCTCTGCTTCCTAGTGCCTGCAGGAAAAAACTCTACTTTTGAAAACTGATACATGATACTAATGGTAAGAACTCAATTTATCTCAAATTGAAAAAACTTCATTTATGAATTTTTTTCCATCTCAAACTGGACTTCAAACACTTCAAATACATGAAAATGCTAACAGTTCCACAAAATAAGTAAAATGCTCAAATAAAATGATCTATGAAACACAATATTAAAATGCTGTTTATAAAGAAAACAGAAGAAAATTTTCAGAAAAGAGACCTATGCTAAAAGGCCACCATGTTATCATGTACAAATCTAAACTATCTATAATGCGTGGCAAAAGATTATTATATTCTACAAGGCAGGATTTGATACTTTCATCCAATATACAGCAGGATCTGACAGCTGCCACAACAAAAACATTAAAAAGGTTCCTCAAATAAGTATTTTTACAGTTTATATAATCTGATTGTGATATTTATTCAAAAGCCTACTCTGTAAAAGTAAACGTGATTAAGTCTATCTTTTACTATTGCTGATCATGATATTTATGATAAGCACTTTTGTTAACAGTTCCTTTCACGATTTAGACATAGCTCCAATTCATTTGTTATTGCCCAGAGTACTGTAAAGAAAATCTAAGCAAAATCGTGATAAATCTGGACACGGAATTCTTTATTTTAAAAAGTACCTTTATCACAAAGGTTGAGAACAGATAGTATTTTAAGATACAGTCTCCCCTTATAATTTAGAATCAGGAAAATAAAGAAATCTGTCTCAAATGCTTTATGTAAACTATAGAGCAGACTTAACTCTTGCTAATAAGCTAATTACAACATACAACTAGCTGTCACAGTATTAACAGTAATATCTACTTCTCTACATCACAAAAGTCAAAGACGATGCATAAAGCACACTGTTTAAATCAAAAGTTTTAATTGGAAATTAGATGTAAATAACTAAGATAAATGTAGATTTGTAGCCTGCCAGATTTCCCTTATTTGGATGATGTTTATTCACTCATTAATTGTTCTACATTATGTGGACACCATATACACTTCATAAAGCTCTACAAGTGTACTGTGATAACTAAAGATGTTTCTATTTTATAAATTAACTCAAATAATATAAAACTTATTAAAAAATAAAAACACCATCAACCATGTTTCCACATGTCTTTTCTAATTTGAGATGTGTGAAATCTTAAAACTAGAAAACCATATTGCCATTGAGAAGGCTAATAAAGCTGGATGTTAGTCTTTTTTTTGGAAAAATTTTTTTTAAGAGTTGAGAATATCATTGTGTTAAACCCAAAATTTCAGCTAAAGCATTAATTTTAGCTGTAATAAAAATGCTATAGACATTATGAATAAATGAAAACTTGGGGAATAATAAACAAAGCAGAATTCATGGTTACCATATTTACACATACTCTTTGTTGTGTTTCAGTGCCACATGATCTGATTCAAAGTAATAAACATCAGGATCATCATCTTCCTCTTCTGTAATGTGCGGATTGGCACTCTCTTTGGCAGATGGCAAATGTCCAATATTGAGTCTTGCCTCTGAGGATGGCTTACTTAGTCCTTCACTCCCATAATTTTCAGAGTCACAACATATGCCTTTTTCATTGTGAGAAATTTCATCGGGATTTGTGACAGACTGACTTATATTATCACTAACAGGTGCATTTGTTTCACTGGGATTAAGATTATTCTCCTCAAGTTGTCCATTTTCTCTGCAAGGAGAACTGTTTTTAGTGGGACTACCTCTGGTAGGGGCCGCCCTCCGGGGTGAAGTTCTCAGAGTATACCGATGTTCTTGAGGTTCTGATAAAGACATCATTTGAGCCGAAATACAGTCTAGAACAGAAGATGGTTCTGGTTCTCCGGAGACTGGCATACTCTCAAGACTTGTGTCCAGGGCGTTATTGGTGTTTTCATTACACTGCTCTTTTGAGGCACTGCTATCTCCCACCACATCTACTTCCTCCTCAGAATCCCTTAAAGATGAATGAATTTCAGAAAAGGGGCCTGTAGCTGGCTCAGTAGTCAGCTGATTAACATGTTCCACAGGCAGGCAGGCAGTTACTATTTTGTGGTCCTCCAACTTGACCTGCACTTCTGAATTTGTGCAAGGCACGTTATGGTCTATATAACTGTCCTCCTTCCTACTACCAAGGAACACTGAAGTGTGGGTATCCGAATCCCCATTTTCAGCTACTGATTTCTCCTGCAACACATAGGAACCAGTGCTATTTTGTTTAGTGTTCCCATCGGACTGACAGTCATCACAGTTTACAACAGCTGAATCACTGTCATCAACACCATTGACAGCCAAATAGCCCGTGATTTCTTCAACTACTGTAGAATTAAGTGGCCCTTCCTCACTGACATTCACCTTTTTAATTTCCCTTTTCTCACAATCATCCAGTATAAGACATCGACAAGCTCGTTTAGTCCCTTGAAAATCTGCATCATTGTCCACTACTGTACTCCTCTGTTCTACTGACTCCTTGTCTGATTTTATAGGTGAATCTTCTTCTGAACTGTTTGGTGCTTCAGATCTAAGACAACGCTTAATTCTTTTTAAAACTGGTGAAACAGGTTCTGCTTGCCTTCTTTCACAATTTTCTACAGACTGCCTTTCTACGTTATCTTTTTCTGAAGAAGGAAGTCCTCTTTTCCTAGGGCTTACCCATGACTCTCGAGTACTCTGCTGTTTTATATCAGTAGTTCTTCCATTATTATTTCCTTTCTGAATTTGCACAGGCTCTGGTCTCTTCTTTGGTGATCTTGATCGTACTTGAGAATGAGAAGAGATTTCTTCAGGATGAGCAATGCTACGATTCCTTAAAGTTCTACCACAAAAAGATTCATCCAAGCCGTTTAACCCCACTGTTGATCTTGTAACACGAGTAGATCGGGAAGCAGCCATACTATGGCAAGTCCCTACAATACGGTCATCATGATCCACTCATTGGGAAACCTTCAAAAACGTAAACAAAATAATGAGAAAAAGGTAATAGTTAATACACCTAAAACAAAAGTATAAAGCTATAACTTTTTAATCCATGTATAGCCATATTAAATTTTGTGATATAATTATTTTATTAACATTTCCAAAAGTGATAATATTAGCTAACAATTATATGGCACTTAAAACATTCCAGGAATCGTTCTATATGCTTTACATACGTTAACTCACTTAAGTCTAACAACAATTAGAATAAGTGCTTATTATCATTCCTACTTCATAAATGAGGAGATTGAGGCACATACAGTTTAAGTAATCTGTCCAAATTCACACAGCTAGTAAACTGCTGGGCAGGGCCCTAGATTCCACGCTCTTAACCTTCCTCGCTATGTATCTACCTCTCAGATATACAGGGGCAAAGCGCCCAGAAAGATCTCTCTCAAAGACAGGACTTCATCTTAGTTATTAAAATAATAATCTTGAATTTATATAGCAGCTATCATATAAACTATACCAATCACTTCTCATGTTTTCTCAACACTTCTGGGAGGTAAAAAGACAGGCTCTGCTCTTTTTAATTCACTCTTACTAAAATGAGTTTCAGGTCAAATTCTTTGATAACAAACCACGTGGCATCCAAAAAATTTTGGTTGCAATAGAATGTTTTATAACTAAGCAGATGAACAGAAATCGCAGAATTTTTTATAACTAAGCAGATGAACAGAAATCACAACCGTAGCTTATACTTGCTAAGAGCAATACAGAGCAAAGCCAAGCCACCCTAGTCTCTAGAAGTAGAGCCACAAATTAGCAAGTGAAAGGAAGTATTCTAAAGAGGACAGAAGAAAAAGGGAAAGAAGCACACTGCCAAACAAATATTACATTTAAGAAATCAGGAATACACATATAACCCCATCCTTTCCTTCTTTGAACTCCTGAGTATATGTGTATGCCACAGTATTAATGCATGTTGAGGAGATGAGCAGGCTTTCTGGTGTGGATGCTTTGGTGCTTCTATAATACAAATGAGAGGGAAACTGAAAACTGCCCTGATTGATCCATTTGTATAAAACTGAGCGATTCAGTGATTATTTTCCAAGGTTCTCCCAACAAGCAGAATTAAAGGAGCTGTTAAAATTTCAAGTCTCCATTCTTCTGCTCCTCCCCTATTTAGCTTTCAAAAGGTACTTCGCCACTTCACTGCCTGACTTCAAACGTGGTGCAGGATGGACAGAGAAAAGAGGCCAGTAATGGTTGTAGTACAAAGTTGCACAGGAACCTCTTCCCTCATCCCTTTTGCCAGCTTTCCCACAAGCTCACTCTCCTATAACCCTCCAAATGCCATTCTACCCCTCTCCCCACAAATCAAATACAATCTCTCCTTTGCCTCAACTGTATCTAACAGTTGGAAAGGTTATTAAGAGCTACAGAAGATACAGCAACACAGTATCACATACAAAAAGAAGAAACTGCCTTCTTGTTCCTGCCTGCTGACAAAATGAATAAAGTGAAGAAGTATCCTGTAAAATATGTAAGTCAGTTGAATTTAGTTTTGTTTCAGAGTATGGCATACTTCTAAATTTTTAATTAACAATTTTTTAAAACCTTACAAGACTCACAAAATCAGCCCTGGGATTAAAGTGTGAAAATTCTTTCTAGAGAATTCCATAGCAATCACATGAACAGTAAGTATGGAACACTGATCAGAACTTAAAAATAATGCTTTTCAAAGTAAACTTTTACTCTTTTGGGACTCATTAGTCAGACCTGATGCATAATTCTCTTCTGTTAATATCTTCTTATCAAGATTACAGTCTATTTTTATTCACAGGTAATAAACAGTGAATGACCCATAAACATCCACTTTTAATTACAAAACTTTAAGTTAAACTTCAGATGATGTTTCAAAAGAGCACAAACTAAAAAATATTAAAATCAATGTATTTGTTTCATGTATCCAAATCTGAAGCCTTCAAATTTGAAGATTAAGATTTTTAAATATTAAATACCTATGTAAATATAACAAAGAAAACATAAGCTAATTTTATAAACTTTATTTATAAAACCTAATACAAATATCTTTAATGCCAATTTGATTATATTCGTGATTTATGGTTCAAAAATAATATTGGCAATAGTAATATTTTATAAACACACACACAAAAAACTGTTTATCTTTATTTTTAAAAATATGATGCCAATCAAGGGCATATAAACTTCAAATGATTCTGGTAACAGGCATTCCTAGCCCTTTTCTCTCCACACCAACCCAAATGAGAGCAAAATTTTTGCCTTATCATTATTAATGAAGTAATCCTATTATTAGTAGTACCCAAAACTACTAACAAAGAATATATATATATCATTATAAAACACCACCTATAATGAGGGTCTGTTTTATTTCTGCACCATTCCAGTGATCAGTCAAAACACTGATCAACATGAAATATTAAAACTTTTTTCATTTCTTTTGCTCCCTAAAAATATTTTTATTCCGTTCACAACTACAATGAAGTCCAAATTTTAGAGTTCTCAAACCCTATGCTATTGGGCCATATTTTAAATGAAACTGTTTTGTGATAAGAACCCTTGTGGTACCTCAAACTCTTGCAACTCTAAGTGTGGCCTGAACACCTGAAACTAACACAACATTGTAAATAGACTATACTCCAATAAAAAGTAAAACAAATAATAATAATAAAGAAACCAATAGGATATTTTGTACAGAAATTTGGTGACTCATATTTACTGTCCTTAAAGTAAAGTATAAAAGTCTTTAAAAAAAAAAAAAGTGTGGCCTGAGAACTAGCACCATGGACATCTACTGGAAGCTTGTTACAAATGCAGAATATCAGGCCCTGCCTTAGACCTTCCAATTAATTTGATTCCCAGGTCATTAAATGTCTATTAGGGTTTGAGAAGCAGTGCCTTAGACCACTGCATCCAGACAGTAGTCTATTAAAATATATCAAGTTTCAAACTAAATTAGACCATTTATAACATATCCTTTAATTCTTTACTCGATCCTAATATTAAAAAATTTATAAATAAAACCATTATCCCTTTGGCTAAGGAAGCACCAAATAGAGGACTATAAAAATCTCTTGCCTGAAATTAACATATTACATATACTTAAGGTATTAAATTGGTTAAAATTCTGAAGATTAGAGTTAAGTGAAATTTCAACACTCTTCCTTCTAATGATTTTTTTCTTCTGTTCTAACCTTTTTCTTCATTATCTTTTCTATTTTTGAATAAGCATTTATAAAGACACATATTTTCTGTAGTTATAAACTGAGTGCAAAATTCAATTACCGAAAAGAGACTAACAATGCTCCAATTATCTCAACCAAGTCTCAACATTGTTTTGCCATGCTTTGTAAAGTATTATAGACTAAAAGCAGTTGTCTTCCTCATTTTAGCTGCATAACACAAGAGTTACTAAAGAAATTTAGTGAAGAGGTTTGGAGTACAAAATTATATTCCAGCCAAAAATTAAGTTGCTAAAGGAAGAGGAAAAAACTCATTTACAAACAAAGTATCTCAGAAAATACCCCTGCTAGTTAAGTAAATAGTTAACATGGTTTAAACATTAGCCAGCACCCAACTAGAACTGGTAATTCAATCAATCACTCTAGTTTTAGAATTAAGGGAAACTGTTAGTTAACAGATTCACATGGGCAAAACCCAATCTAGCAACTAGAATGACGTTTTTCCTATGTTACCCACAAACTAATGAATATGGCATCTTCTACAACAGAGGGAAGAGAACATAATCAATCACTAGAATTCCTCTCTTCCCCATCTTCGTGAGTTTTCATTCTATTGCAGGACATATCTCAGAAGGAGAGTCAATCAAATTTTACCCTGTCCATTCACATTGAGGCCCAAATCCTACCTATAATTCCATATGTCTCACCCATTTATTTACTGCTGAACTACCCTCTCCCAAATTTGAATCTACTTGTAGGATCTAATTATAGGATTCTCAAATATAATTATAGGATTCTGAAACGCTCTCTGAAACAGTATCAGCTATGTTTCAGATCATAAATTTCCAGCCCCTGTGATCACATCTGTATCACTGTTTCAGTGACTGAAAGTAAAATGGTCCACCTAATGAAACACTACTCCAGCTATCTACTACCTTTACTTTAGAAATCTCAAAAGATATTTCAAAGACACTGCCTGTAAGCTTTTTTTTCCACTATAATTACTGAAGTAGTATGGTTTATTTTGGGAATTGAAGGACTGGCAATCCTTCGTTAACATCAATGTTCTGGCTGATATTTATTTAGTTTTATTAAGTGAACAATTTTTAGGAACTGGTCATGATACCATGTAGACAAACCAAAGTGAAAGGCAAAAAGAACAAGAGCAATTGGGAAGTGTTACCAATGATTCTTTTTCTATTTGTCTAGAACATAAACAGGAACTGTTTAATAACGGTTTAGGGACTATCCTTGTCATACAATTCTTTTAAGACAAATTTCTTTGCTGAGCAATTACCACTATTATCTATAATGTCAAAAGTATCTATAAGGTTAAAAGAAGGAGAGTGAGACCTGGGGACCTATCTATGTAATTCAACTTAAGGTTCTTAATATCAGTCTCTTTGAACCCTGGGAACTCTATTACATACTACCTTGATCCCCTGTTTAAAGGGATCCCTTCTTTCTTCCCCATTCAGAGAGGGGCGAGGGGGTAGGCAGAGAGACATAGATATAGAGAGAGCTGAATGAATATACACTTAAAAAGACAAGTGGGGAGAAAGAGAAGTCAAGGAATTTCATACTACCCTTGAATCAAAAATACCTAGAGTGTCAGAGAAAGGTATAATGCTCTAGAGATTCCAATGTACTTTAAGTCACTTCATTTATCCCCTGTTGGAAAAAGATATCATCCCTACGCCATTCCCTATAGCTCTGCGCTATGAACAGCTACCCAGACTGCACAATTTTCCATGCACCGAAGGAAGTATAGAAAAATAACAAGCCTCCTCTCCTTAATTACAGGCAAACAAACAGACTATAGTTGTCTTCACTACTACAAAACTAAATAACTTACCTGTATAACCAAAGATCTATCATTGTGGAAATATTATCTCTTTTCCTTATATCCTGAAGGAGTTGGAGCTATGATCTAGAATAGAGCTTAAGCATCATGGTTTCAGACTCTCAGCTTCAGCCATGGAGAATACTAGAACTTCCTAAATTCCTTTCTTTAAAAATAAAATAATAAAAAAAAAAGAATTAAAGAATCAAATTAACTTATGCTAAAATATTTTAGTAACATCTTTGGTAATTCTTGTTAACTTTGTAGCCTCAGATATATCAAGAAACTGGAAAAAGATTTTTAGAAACCAACAAAAACAAACCAAAAAGAGCTTGAAATATACTAAATCTTTACAACAACTCAGTATTATTTTGAGTCAAAATGTAACTCAGTTCTTTTCTAGAGTCTAAGGCAATACTGTTTTGAGGTGACCCAAAGACTGCCCTTGATAAGAAGATTTCTCATACGGAATTTATAATCTCTTACTCTTATTCTAGAGGCCTTCCCAAAGTTTGGCTTTCAGGTATTTAAAACTAGGAACTGAACAACAAAATTAATTTAGATTATGTACAACAAAGAATCAACCAAGTCTTCTGCAATATATATACATTATAACTTTGGTTATATAAAGTGCTACAAGACTTTACAAAGGGAAATTTTTTATAAAGGGAAATTTCTATTATTTTTGGCATATGGATTTTCAACAAAAACAAAAACAATAAGGATTTTCTGGCTTTAGTACCCAGTTGGCCAGATATTTTAATTAATCTAATTATAATCCATTTCATGGACAGTCTGGCTAATTACAGTTTTACTTTATAATAATGTATTATGATATCCTTTTCAGAGAATCTGGATAAATGGGTTACTATGAGTGCCCATCCAAAAACAAGGAGGAACACCAGGAAAAAGACTAACGATGTTCATGATGGAAATTGTCACTTTATTATAAACATAAAACTAGATATTCTAGAAGTGACACTATTTTTGGTAAAAGATTGCAACTTAAAAACTAATGCAAAAAATTTTTCAAAATAAAAATGGATGCAATTATCAAGCTTTGTAAACTAGATTTACTGCCTAGAAAAAATAAATAGATTACAGTTTAAGTCAGCAAGAGGGCAACAAGGCTAATATCTATAGATGCAACCTCTCCCAGATATGTCTTCTAAATTCTTGAAAAGCACAAGGTAGGAAAATTGTCTAAATAAAATTATTTAATACTACATTAAAAAATGTTCTCAATTAACACGAGGAGGGTGCACAGTGAAAAATGGTCCTACAAAAAAGTAACCCTTGACTTGAAACTTCACTCTTCTTATAACATTCCAATTGCCAACGCCTTTGTACTCAACCCTGAAATCCTTTCACAAACATGGTAAAGCATTACACTGTATGGTGTATGGAGATGGTAGCAAACAACAGAGCCAAAGAGGATCCACAGTTTAGGATGTGTCTCCGAGTATCCGCTGGCACGCCCATTCCAGCGCTCTATCAAGTTCCAATCAGTCACGTTACTATCCTATTTGGGTAGGGTTTGCTGTTGAAACATCACCCATTATGATATTTGCCAGGCAAGGAGATCTGCAGCAGTTATTTTCACAGAAGAACTGGTACTTACAGCTGAGTCCTACCAGTATTAAGATAAACAGGATCATGCAGATGATTAGGCAGATTAGGCTTCTTAAAAGCCTAATACAGTGAAAAGGAAACTTCAATTACTTCTACTAACTAAAGCCCACTTGGCCTTAATTAAGATTACATTTTTTCTTACCTTTTTAAAAAGTGTTTCGCCTAGTATTTGACTCCCAAGCGTCTGCATTTATCTGTCATCACTGTTAATGTCCATGTTACACTGTGACTTCAGGTATTACTTATTTATATGGTTGTACTAGCACAACTTGATATCTGTGAAGGGAAACCACAATATAGTCACTATGGATGTGTTACTGTTTACAGATTTGTGGATAAAACTGATAATATTTCTTAACACACCACACACTGCATTTTCTAATAAATTTCACAAATAATTCCTTATATTTAGCTACAAAATATGTGTTATTTTTGAGCAGACTAAGATGATTTGTTAACACTCTTACAAATGCTTCTCACAGTACCCACATAAAATATTTCAAATTTAATTCTAAATTAAAATTCTTACAAGTTTTAGAGGTTCTTAGATTCCTTTTCTGACTACCAATGTAGACATACAGATATATCTGTAATTTCTCAGACATTAATAGAAAAGTACTTTTTTGTGTTTTATAACAATATTAGGGAATAAATCTAGAAGCTTAAGAATGCAGTAAAAAAGATCATGACTTTCCCCTAAATGTGACTTTAAAACATTCTATGTCTTTTAAAGTAACATTTTTGTCTTGGTTAGATTATCCCTCTGTGACTAATCTGACCATGTTATTTTGAATATAAATAGAAAATAAATGTGACAAAATAAGTGAAGAAACAAATCAAGATGTAGCTGTACAAACGTTCCTTAAAAAAAAGTAAGCTTCTTAAAAACATACACATGGTTGTAGGTTACAAGTCTGAGAAACACATCCATGTGCTTACAATGATAATGAAAAGCATTATATAAAACTTTAAGTCATTTCTACCCATTTATTATTGGAAAAATAAGCTAAAAAAAAGTCATATATATGTCAAAGAAATCTATCAATGGCATTCTAAAATGATTCAGCATGGTGTACCATCCCAAATTCCAAAATCTACACAGAAAATGCAGATAGCCTTACATCTGTTTTGTGGATAAAATTTGTTACTGGAGTTGTCAACCTGACAGATGTTCTCAGTGAAAAGTTTCACTAAAATACAGTAGAAAACTAACATAATATCAATTATATTTAAATTTTTTTTAATTGGAGGAAAAAAAACACAATAGACAGCAATTAAGAAATACTAATATCTATCCTCAAACACTTCATTCCTATTATTTGTTTTCTTTTTTTTTTCCCCCGCCACTCCACACGTCTTGTGGGATCCTAGTTCCCCGACCAGGGGTTGAACCTGGGTCCCCTGCAGTGGAAGCACAGAGTCCTAACCACTGGACTGCCAGTGCATTACCTCATTTGTTTTCAAACGTTAAAAAAGACTTTAGGAAATGCCAAAAAAAGTTAATACAGATCTAGGTATTCCTAAATTTAAAAGTTGATATAAATTCTCTTGTAACAAGCAAGGAGTTAAAATAGTCAAAACTCTTCTTATATTCCCTACATAGCAGTCTTCATTTCATTCACTATACATTTCATATTTAAGATTCTGCACAAATACTATATGCTTTCTGGAGCAGAAAAGCTACTTAGAATTGTGACAAGCTACAATAATTTTAAAATTTGAACTATTTAAATATATAACTTACTTCCAGAAGTTTAAAAAACTTAGCTACTTTGTCTTTTGAAACGCATACAAAATAGAAAACAAACCATTTAAATCCCATTCCTAAGGCCTTATTTATTCTTTGCCACAGAGCTTTGCTTGTTTTCACGTACTAACAAAATTCATTGACTATTCAAGAATTCCAAAAGCAAATCCAGAAACCAATCTTGACTGAAAAGAATTACTTTTCCTACCATTTGCAGTCTAACACTAGTACTACTGTGTTAAACAGATTACGGATCTCAGATTCATGGCACATATGAAATCACTTCAAAAGACTACAGAAAATCTCACTAGAAAATATATCAGTTCTACTAATATAGCAAAGTTATAAGCCACACAACATACTATAAAAGTAAAACAGTGACATCCAAGCTAAATGCAATCTAAATTATAAGACACTGAATTTTTTTTTTTTAGTTTTATAAGACCTTGGGGATTAAAAACTCAGAACAAAGGTTATAATATAGATTCATATATCACACCCAATTCTTCAGTTGTTATAAGAAAAATACTGAACACATGCACTGCAGTACACTATGGCTTTAAGTGATTTTAAAAGAAAACAGAGAGAGGGACATTCAAAGCTGGTTGTAAAAAGCATTAAGATAATGGTCAAAGACAAAAATACTTTTTCTAGACAATTAAGTTTATCACATTTACTTGCTATAGAGAGCTGAACCGAATTTTCACTTGGTACAAAGTATGACCAAGAAGATCACACTTTGCTGGCTCCCTAAATTGTTTGTAACCACAGATGTAATGTCTTGGATGCCTCCTACAGATTTCAGAGATAAGCCTATTACATAGTCAACAGAAAGGAAATAGAAAGAGCATCAGATTTGGTGGAAGGAGAAGGAAATATGATTCTCTACCCACCATCAATAATAACTGTTTGACCAAGAGAAAACCACTTTGCACTTCTGCGTTTCATTTCTTCACCTATAAAACAGGAGACATAATACCTGCCGACTACATCTCAGGGTTACTATGAAGTTCAGTGAGATTATACCTGCAAAGCAGGCAAACTTTAGTGTGCCTAAGAAATTCCTGGAACTAACTGCCCCAGAAATTCAGATTCAGCAGTTCTGGACATGCACACATAAATCTTTACTTTTAATTAACCACTTCAGGTCATTCCAATGTAGGGATCCCCCAAAGATGAGGCTCACCCTTTGAAAAAAAAAAATTCCATCACTTTCTTCTGAAACTTTAGTGTTTGTAAGCATTACCCTAGGGGCTTATTTAAAATACAAATTTTTAAACCTCATCCTTAGAAATTCAGATTCAATAAAGGTGGGGCAGGACACAGAATCCTCATTTTTATCAAACACACTACAGGTGACTGAGATGTAAATGGCTCATGACCCATCCTTTTACAAACCCTGAACTAGATTCTTCCCCATACACGTTTCTCAAATCGTTCCCCACCTCTCTAGTGTCATCCATGACTAACATTAGGCCTTCATCACTTCTCACTTGAACTAACCCACATGACTTATAATTGGTCCCTCTACTTTAAGTCTTGTCCCTTACAAATGCATGGTCTGCAGCGGGGTCTAAAGCACACATTTCTGTCACTCTCTTATCTAAAACACTTCCAAGGGACTTCCGCTTCTGGCCAAGACAGGGTAACAGAGATGAGATTTACGTTCCTATCCGAAACAACTAAAAATCTGGGCAAAATATATGAAAATGTTTTTCAGACACTGGAAACCAGACAATATAGGAGAGTGATCGATGAAAGAGAAGAAACAAATAAAGCAAAGCCCCAGCTTCCTGCTTGGAGAGTTTCCAAGCTTCAGAGTGAGGAGGGTGATCCCAGGCAAAGCAGTCTCCCTGATTTAAGAAAATGAAGCACAGAGTCTGGGGAGACCCAAGTAGCTAAGGTTCCCAGAACACTTGTACCAGAGAGGAGGCAGCTTCAGAGAGAGCAAGTAAGACCTCAGGAGATCTGCAGAGATCCTCCTCAAGTCTTGAGCTGAGCACTGATCAGTATATGCAGTGTATCCAAGGCCTGGAAAACCACTCTTACCCACAGCCAGGGGTATGCTAGAAAATGTGTAACAACCAAGGGCAGTTGGTGGTTTATAGTTCCTGGTTTGCAGGGTTACCAATGACTCTGGTGTGAATACTCCTACCCATGGCCAATTTCAAGCTATCAAGGAATAACACTGAGTGCAAAGATGGGAAGAGATACATGATAACACATTAAACATTACAGAATATTTCTAAAATAGTGATATAATAAATTACCACCAAAGCATCAAAATAGTAATAATAATATAATTTACAAGTAATGAGTTTTGAGTATTTATCTCCTTTATTCTTAATATAACTGATTTAACTATAAGTGTATATAATTTAATTCTATTAAGAATTAAGCCAGCTCACAAACTTCCCAATATTTTGAAAACTGGCCCTCACAAGCTCTAGTATACCACTGCCCGTGGCTCACACAGGGCCAGGAATAGTTTGTATACCTATCAGGTAGAGTAGAAAAACTCGTAATTCATAAGACATCAAGTACAGTGCTCAGGAGGGCATTGCCTCAGTAGTGGGACAAAATGAGCTCTAGACTAAAGATTGCTCTAGTCCCACCTAACAAAGATTAAAAGCAAGCCCCAAAAGAATAAATCCATTTGCAAGGAACTTAACTGTATCCCAGAACAAAACTCAAAAATATTTATAGGAATACAAAAACGTCTAGCACCAAACAACGTAAAATTGACAATGCCTGGCATCCAATAAAAAACTACCAGACATGCTAAGAAACAGGAAGATACTACACATAATGAGAAAATCAATCAATAAAAAAGGACACATACATGAAAGATTTACTAGGCAGGAACATTAAATCAGTTATTATAACTGTTGTTAATACATTCAGAAAGATAAATGGAAAGGTTAAGCATGTTAGGTACAGATATGAAAGATATTTTTAAAAATTGATTCTTCTAGTAATGAAAAATGCTGGTTGGGATAAACAGCAGATTAGATACTGCAAAGAAAATGTCAATGAACATGAAAGCATAGCAACAGAAACTACAAAATAAAGCACAGAGACAAACAAAACTGAATAAAAAAAGCATAAATGAGCTGTGAGACAACATCAAGCGGCCTAGTAGATGGGTAACTGGAGTGCACAAAAGCAGAAAAAAATGTCTGAAAAAGTAATGGCCCCAAATTTTTCAAATTTGACGGAAATTATAAACACACAGATCACAGAGACTAAACCCCAAGCACAAGAAACATGAAGAAAAGCACAGCACATCATAAGCAAATTGCTTTAAATAAGTTAAAAAAAAAAAAGAATATCTTAAAAGCAGACAGAGAAAAATGACACATTATATACACGGGAAGAATAAGATTGAAAGCAGACTATTCACTAGAAACAACACAAGACACAAGACAGTGAAGTTTACCTTCATACTGAAAGAAACTATCAACTGATAATTCGATAGTTTTTGAAAGATACGTTCTCTAAGTTGAAATAAAGATGATTTCAAATGGTA